TTTTCTTGTTTCTCTACTGTTGTTGTGAGCTGAGTACTCCCTCCCAGCAGTAACAGATTCACCAGCGCTTCTTGCCAAATGTCTTTATTTTACTTGTAAGTCTCTGAACATACACAAAGTGAAATGTTGAACCCTCTCTGGTCCCCTTCACCCGAAGTTTTCATTATGAAGCCTTCTGGGCTGTCCTTGCAGGGAGAAGCACTGTGGAACCAGGCATGCCTTCGCTTCTTCCTCCGAGATCCCAATTCGGCCACCCTATGACTGGATTATTGGGGCCACCTCCTCAGGAGCCTGGAGTTCCCATCCAATAGACTCCCCATCTCTAGCTCTCCCCCCCCCCCCCGGATGCTGTTGCTCTTCCTCGTCCCCATGGGCAGGTTGAGTGGGTCCCTCGGCTGCCTTGAACTACTCTCTTCCCCTGCAGACCAGGGGCCTTGGACTGCGGCTGGAGCTGTGTCCATTTCAACAACCATCTTGTTATCAGAGCCCGAGCTCTCAGCCCTGCCGGGGTTGGCCAAGTCCCCTTCATACAGCTCATTCTCAGAATCTGTGCCCTCAGTCCAGCCAAAATGGTCAGCTTCTCCTGCATGCCTGGGAAACTTGCCAGAACACGCACGCATGACAACTGGTAAATACAAATTGACTACAGTAATAACAGCAATAATTGCTTTATCTGTTTCCTTCCTTCAAGGATCTCAAGATCACATACATAATCCTTTCCCATGTTTTGCTTCTCAAGAACTCTCTGAGGAAGGTTAGGCCAAAAGGTAGCAATGGGCCCAGTCTCACTGAATGGGCCAAACAGCTGAGCAGAACTTCTCACCCTGGTCTCCCCTGTCCTAGTCTGCCATTCTGCCGCCTCCTTTGTCCTCTGGCTCTGATGTACTCTTTGGTCCCGTTTCTGGACTTGTTCCAAGGCTTCTCAAACTGCTGCTCAGAATGTGGCCTCGGCGGCAGACTCCACATGACCACTTACTCCTGTGTATAATTCCTGTCTTCAATGATGACTTCTAGCTCCGGAAGGAGAAATTCACAAAATTAGTCTATAAACTGGGATGGCTGAATTGCAGCACTCCAGATGTTTTGCTCTATCATTCCCATGATCCCTTGTTGGCTAGGGCTGACAGAGGTTGTAGTAAACAAAATCTGCAGGGCCATAAGCTTTCCACTTTGATAGATATCGTATCAACAGTAAGTAACACAGGCTATGTGTTACTTACTCTTTTTTTTAGAATGTTTTATTAAAGTTATAAACTAATACTAAAAACATCAATTCTCACATACATCGGATTTACTGGGTCAACCCCCTACTACATATTTTTTTAATATTCTATAATTATATTCAAATCAGTTTATAACAACTTGAAAACATCTCTAAATTTATGCCAGGTCCGGTTTCTCCAGCCAATTATAGAAAAAATCCCAAGTTTGATAGAAGTCAGTGTCTTCTTTCTCCTTCAATGATAAAGTCAATCCATCCATTTCTGCGCAGTCCAGAATCTCTCTTAAAATCAGTTCATCAGTGGGTAGTTCCTCACTTTTCCAGTATTGAGCAAATCCAATCCTCGCTGCAGTGATTAAGTGTAACATCAAATACTTTTCCTGTCTGTTAGTATCTTCCGGTATGATGCCTAACAAGAAAACTTCAGGTTTAAAATCTAAGGGTTTTTGTAGTATTTCCTCCAGCCATTTATAGGCTATGTGTTACTCACTGTTGTAAGTAATTCCCGGCTATGGAATACACTCTCTAGAGAGGTCCACCTGGTGCTGTCATTATATGCTTTTCAGTGCCAGGTCAAGAGCTTTTTATTCACGCAATATTTTAATGTTAATAGACTTTAATTATGATTATAATTAATTATTTTAATCTGTTCAATTTATTTTAATAATTAATTTTATTTAGTTCAGTCATAGGATATCTAGTTTAGTATTGTTTGGGGTGTGTATGTTATTTATATCGCTATATTTATAGATTTTGCTGTGAGCCATCCAGAGACGAAAGTGATTGGACGGGCTAGAAATATCCCAAATAAAAATAAATAAATAAAATAACACAGTGCCCTTTAATGAGGATATTATGTAAAGGACTACAGCACCCATGAGCCAGTGATGAGGGATGATAGGAGGTGCAACCCAGCAACAAGAGAGGCAGGGGGACACCCTCCCTATCCCTGTCATCTGCAATATTTTAAACTAGCTTATTATTCTGTACTTCTCAATATAACATTCATCTGCGCCCTCTGCCCTGTAAGCACGGAAAACCCCCGTGTGCTAATGGCAAGCCCGTGAGCGTGGCAACTGCAGCTGAGAGTTATGTGCTGCCCTCTAGTGGGCACTCTGGGACATTCCACAGATCGGACAGCTTTTTGATGCCATATTCTAGCAGCTTGTTGTTCGTTTCCAAGGTAGAATTTCTGGCAGAATAAAGCCCGCTAAGGCATCGGATGCAACAGTTAAGGCCCAAATGTCGCCCCCTGACTACCCCAGTGGGACGCTGAAAGCACCGGTGAGGCTCACACTCTTACAATCGCCTCCCGGGACGTCTGCTTGGGCCCTGCGCTTGCTGTTAGCAGGCTTAATAGAATTCCTGCTGGCTGGTACTTGGCCTTAGGGAAGTCAGTGGAGACATCTCCCATTTTCCTTTTAGCCCCACTGTGGGAGGAGGGTGAATTTCAAGGAAAAACAGGAATTGGGTGTGCAGGAGAGAAGGCGGCATCCACCCTTCCTGAGGAATCCCAGTCAGGGCCGTGCACACTTATGCAGCAGAAAATGAAACTACCAGGTTTAGCTGCACACTGTGCAATTAAAGCCACATGTACGTTGGCCCTCCAGATCTTCATTATGTTTGTATCTATAACTCTGTACCATTTTTTAAAGAAAGCAACACAAAACCAAAATACACACTATCAAAAACTTGGAGCAGCTACCAAAATGGGATGAAGCCATCATCTCACCTTGAGAGAGAATGCAGATGCTTCTACTTTAGTCTGCAATTACAAAAGAGACCTGCTCTGCTCTTGCTCAATATAGAATAATGATACATCACCACCTTCACATGATCCACCTCCTGTCTTTTCCTTGCATTTTTTGTCTCTTCTGGAAGCCCAACTTTGGGGGAAAGAAGAGACCAGTAGCCCAGTCCCCACAGGTGTAGACTGCTTTAGCACCATGCCCCACCCTTTTCAACAGGTGTGATATCAGCCAGATGTCCTGCATAGCTTCCCTATTACCTTTCCAATCAGCACATTTTAGCCCAGTATTTTTAAATGTCTTTTTAATTTCGGCTTTTTAAAAAACCTACATATAATCAAGTATTAAGACAAATAAAAAACATTTTGAATAAAAAGCTCTGAAACAAATAAGCATTTTGGTACAATTCAAAACAAAATGCAAAAGTAAACTAACAGGTTCAATTTTCTCAAAGTGCTAATGCTGCTGCAGCTCCAGGACCTAAGTGGCAAGCAAGCATCTTTGCCCAGAACGCCAGGGCCAGGGTGATGGAGGCGGGAGGAGAAGAGAGGCTTGCTCAGGCCGGGGCTGGGCACTCTGCAGGGCCAGAGGCCAAAGCAGAGTTGGGTGCAAGCCTGGGCCAGATCCTGGCAAAGGCATGGCAGGGGCGGAGGCACCTGGAAGGCAGCTGCTGAATCCGGAGTGCAAAACAGCCACTGCAGTGCTGTGACTCATGATGCTGAGGCAAAGCTAAGCAGGAATAAACCACCCAATAGCCGGAGCTCACTGGGCGGTTGGCAACAACATAGATCCTCCGGTGGCTTCCAGCTGCTTTGCATGACTGGACTGGCCCTAATCCTGCAGCATCTACAGGCCCAACATTAATCCTACAGGTATTTCTCTATCAGGCCTTTGGGGAAGCTGTATCATTTTGCAGATCCTGATCTCCTCTCCTTCCTCTTCTTTTTTCTTCACATCATTGAAGTGCCTGTATAACATAGGCACTATGGCACAGATTAAATTTGGAAGAATTGAAATTATTTTTAAAATGGCAAAAAGCAAAATTATAAATCCGAGACGCATCATGTTCTGGCAAACTATAAAGTTCTCACCTGCATGGCTATGCCGTGGACAGAACATGGTGAAATGCACACGTACCAGACCACTAAACTCCCTGAAGTGAGCCACGTTGCTCCTCGGGTACATAGCTTTACAGGGGAGCCCCCATTATTGGGTACTGCTCAGTGCCTACCTTGGTGGAAATATCCCATCATCTACCTCCAGCTCTTGCTCTTGCAAAGGCTTCTGCCTTGCTCATATGAATATATTCAGAACTAGGGAACAAAAGCTGTTCTCAAGAGATGTGGTACTTGGAGAACAGAGTTAATTTTACATGGCAATTGTGGACTGGAATCCTGAAGAATGGATTCCACCTGTAAACAAAGTCCAAGTGTCAATGCATGAGTACATTTGGCTAGGGATCACTTTTGCAGAAATAGTCATAAAACCTTTAAGGGAAGTCAATGGAGAATAAAAAGTTACAGCACAAGAACAAAAGAATTAATTATTCTATTTCAAGTGCAGGGTGAGCTTTCTGTTGCTCAGGTCTGTTGCTGTCACGTACCGTTAAGTCATTTCCAATTTATGGCAACCCTATGAATGAAAGAAAGTCCTCAGAATATCCTGTCCTTGACAATTCTGCTCAACTCTTGTAAATCCAAGGCTGTGTCTTCCTTTATGGAATCAATCTTTCTCATAGTTGGTCTTCCTCTCCTTCTGCCTTCAATTTTTCCAGCATGATTGTCTTCTCCAGTGAGTTTTGCTTTCTCATGAAATACAGCAGCCTCAGTTTTGGCATTTTCGTTTCTAGGAAAGTTCTAGCTTGATCTAATCCATGACCTACTTGTTCATCTTTCTGTTGCTTCAGAGTATTTGCAAACCCCTCCTCCAGCACCATGTTTTGCATACATCAATTTTCTTCCTGTCACCTTCCTTCACTGTTCAGCTTTCACACCCATACATAGTGATTGAGAATACAATAGTTTGGATGATCTTGGCCTTAGTCTCCAGTGAAATATCTTTAAACTTGACGATCTTTTCTTGTTCCTTCATGCCAGTCTTCCTAGTTTGTCTTGTTTGAATTTTTTGGCTCCTGTCTTCCCTTGAGTTGATGGTTGCTGTTCTGAGTGTGGATTGGACAGCTAAGAAGAAAAAATGCACCCTTGTCTGGCACCTTTGCCTATAGAAAACCATTCTGTTTCACCATATTCTGTCCCAGCAGTAGCTTCTGGTCCCGGATACAGGTTATACGTACATCAGGATGATTAAGTATGCAGCACACCCAGTTTATTTTAGGCCCACCCATAGTTTCTCCTGATCCACATAGTCAAAGGCTTTGTTATAGTCTATGAAGCACAGTTTGATCCTTGGTGTGCTCCAGAAGCTAACATAACTTCTTCCTTTTAGGAGTCGAGCTTGAATGTCAGGCATTTCTCTATCCATACAGGATAAAATTCTTTGTTGCAACACCTTGAGCTTCACTTTGCATGTGTGGGAAATTAGTGCAACGGTCCTGTAGTCGCTGCATTCTTTGGCATCTCCTTTCCTGGGGACTGGAATGCATGTTGAACATTTCTAGCCTAGGGGCCACTGTTTTATTTTCCTTATTTGTTAGCGTATTTTTTTAGGATCTGGACTGATTCAGTCTTTGCAGCTTGCAATAGTTTAAAGGAGTCCCTTTTTTCTAATTGTACGAAGAGAGTGCATCTTATCCTCACATTAGCAGTGTTGTTCCCATTGTCCCAAAATGTGGTCCAGACGGATTCAGGAGCCAGAAATCCTGCCCAGCTGTCACTCCATCTCTTCCTACATCACAATATTGGGTTCCACGGACCCCTTATGGCAGTCACAAGGGACCAAGGCAGAGGGTATGCCAATATCCTGAGCCCCTTGGATGTTATGAAGACCATCATCAAAGAAGATATGGGGCTGGATCTTGGACAATATGGGCCCCTTTGGAGCTCCATCCATGAAGAAGGCTTCATCAATAGCCAGGCCCCATTCCCTGAGGGTTTTGATAGCCCGGGTGCCCATGTCACGGCCACTGCGGGCAGTTACCAAGTAGGTGCGGATGGGAGAATCCTCCTGGTCAAACTTTTTGCGCATTTTCCCAAGGCTCAGAGCAAATGCCTTCAATGGGCCCTGCAAGATATGATAGGCATGAGAGAGAGGGAGTCATTACATTGTTCCACAAAATGACTGGAGAACAAAACTTGGGAATGGGTTATTTCAGCCAAAGGGAGGAACTGGGGTTCTGTTACTCCAGAGGTGGGAAATTTGTGGCTGTCCAGCTGTTTCACTCACAACTCCCATCGGCCCTAGCCAGCAAAGCCAATGGTTGAGGGAGATGAGAGTTGTGTCCCTCCATACACTTTGGTCTACAAGCTCTGTATGCCTCATTACACACATGTCAACCAACCACAAGGGTAACCTTCCTTTATCTAAGCAGCTGCATTTGGCACTCATTGTGATTATGCATGCAGTTTTGGAAAGGTAAAACATTTTCCAAAGCCCCAACTCATTTTAAGCATAGGCTCTTTTCCTCAGAGGATATAAAAAGAGTTTCCTAGCTTGCTTTCTCACTTAAGTAAAAGGTGCCTGTCTGAATTTAGTACCCAGTAGATCACTGTGTAGTAGCTACACTGAGAGCTCTGCTTTGTAGAGAGACCAATGCTGCAAAGCCTGGCAGGGGAAACACATTCCTTGTCACTCTGAATTGTCAGGGAATGGTAGCGTTTTCAGGCTAAGCTGACATATGGGTGTGTGTCATCCAATGATTCGTAGCTGAACATGTGCATTACTGCTACTGGAAAGTGGTAGAGAGGAAAGATAAGAAAGTAGTTATCATGCTGTTGCCAGTAAATTAAGTGATGTGCATGCAAATGTTCTCAGGCTTCCCATAATGCAGTTCCACAAACCTGAGCATACCTTCCCTCCCACCCCTGGCCATGATGGGGGGAGAGTCAATAGATCTGTGTGGGATTGCAAAAAGATACGTCTGCAGGTATTAAACGCCTGGCTGGCCACAGACCATAAGGCTGGTAGACCACTTTGGTGGGTCACAGTGTCAGGTCAGGATCTGCAGCACAGTTCACTGTGGAAGCGCCTGCAGGACCAGGTGCGCAACTGCAGGTGCTTACAAGGAATGGGGCCTTTGGGATCATGCAGTGCAGCTGGAAGCTCTGGCTTTTCAGGGGACCGGACTGATCCGTCTTCCATTTTCTCCCATCAGCTCCTCCTGCTGCCCTTGCCTGCACCTGCCTTGCCAGGTACCTGTTCCTTGTTCTCTCTGACCTTGTCTTGCACGTATCTAACCATCATGTGCTGGCCCCTTTCCTCCTTCCTTCTGGGTTCAAAGTTAAGGCAACCCTTTGAAGTGCAGCCCTTTTATTGCAATTTAACAGACTGCAGAACAGTGTGAACCCCAAACAGACTTTTACCAAAGTTAAGGGAGAAGCATCTGCCCATGTAAAAAGTTGAATCGAGACTGGAATCTGTCCCTCCCTTTCAGTAAACCTTCTGACTCAGCCCTCTGGGCAGCACTAATAGCAAAGCCCCTGCAACGGCCCAGCTCCTTTCTCCCAATGCCTCCTCCTCGAGTGAAGGCCTGGGTCTCGGCCCAGCTCCTTTCTCCCAATGCCTCCTCCTCGAGTGAAGGCCTGGGTCTCGGCCCAGCTCCTTTCTCCCAGTGCCTCCTCATTGAGTTAAGGACTGGGTCTCGCATCTGCTGCCCCTCCTCTCCTGAAGAGCCATCCATCCCTTCCAAAGCAGGCCTATTCTCATGCTCGGCCTGAGAAACTTCCCTAGGCAGCCTTGAAACTGCAAAGCCCTCAGCCACGCTTTGCCCCTGCTCCTTCTCCTCCTCCGCATCTCACGACGGAGCCCTGTCTGCAGTGGTGAGAGGTGGGCCCACTCTCACCTTGGCTGGAAAAGTGGCTGGTGCTGCTCTTCAGAAAGCTGGCTGGGTGTTCTTAAGGTCAGGCATTCTGGGAGGAGGACTGTCCCTTGAAAATGGCCACTGCCCAAGTGGGTTGTGGGAGAGGAGGGGTGGCAGCAAAGGAAGGGGTACAGAGGTGGCAATGGAAAGGGTAACAGACGTGTTCTCCTGCCCAGGAACTGGGAGAGCTTGCACAGGGGCAGGTCACTTCAGAGGGCAGAAGCTCTTCACACAGTGACCCTGAAGACCTCAGTACTTGTGCAGGTTCACGTTGTTGGAGCTGGGTGCTGGTCCTCATGGAAGCAGAGTGGAGTAGAGCTGGGAGGGGCCACAAGGCCATCAGGCCCAACCCCCTGCTCAGTGCAGGACACCAAGTTCAACCTCCTTCCATCCAAGAGTCAAATTCAATTTCAGAGGAGCTCTTTGGTGGCCACATTACCGTGTGTGTGTGTGTGTGTGTGTGTGTGTGTGTGTGTGTGTTGGGGACAAAAATGCCAGCGTACTTCCATTTAAACTTTTACTGGAAGCAACTAAGGCAAGGCGTTGTAAAAAGGGACAGCACAAAACCCGGGAGATCACTACCTGCTTGGGGGAAAGGGGTGGCGTCTGGGAGGGGGCATGGCCCACTGCGCAACCCAAGATTGGGCCTGCAGTGCTGAGTTCAACAGCCCTGGCCTAGAGAGAAATGAGTCTTGAAAGCAGAAGCTGCCCCATATCTGGGGTGCAGGCCTACTTTGCAGGAACTGTCAGCACGCCTACCTCTCCCATGGGCACAGCCTCCATGCTTTTCTCGTACTTCACGGCTCCTTCTAGCCCCTTCTCACGAAAGACACGGTCGGTCTCATCGGAAAAGAGGACAGAGTCACCATCGAAAACGACACGCAGCTGGGAGCTGGGCGTCTGAATCTCTTGCTGGAAGATGAGTGCTGCCGAAACGCCTGCACGGCAAACGCAGAATTCGTCAGAGACACGGGGCAGATGCAGCTTGGTATTGGCCCCAATTTAAATCTTCTTCCCCTCTGGAGCTTGAAGGGTTGAGGCAGATGTGCGGTTTGCACATTTGTATGAGCAACAGAAATGACTCATGGAACACTCTGTGGCCACACGACCTCTTTAGGGCAAACTAAAAAGCTTCTCTGCTACCAATGACAATGTTTCCTTGCATTGTTTTGCCTTCAGGAAAAGGTGGTGTGCAATGCACTCAGCTTTCTTGTCAGAGGAGAAAGGCAGAATGGCTTGAGGCCTGTCTTCGCCTCCCACCCACCTCCCACTCTGGCTGAATAAAAGGCAGGAGAGTAAACACGGATTCAGGCCGATGGCGACTCAGTAGAAACAGGTGAGGAGCACTGCATGAAATCGCTGTTCTTTGAAAAGGACAGCCTTGGCTGTTTCCTCAGGGCTGACCTTGCAGTCACTCACCTCACAAAATAGCAACTCCCAGCTGGAATACAGTATATCCAGGACCACCAGCTGCCCTTAGGATTTCTCCTTGGGAAACCATCTGGTAGACTAGAAACCCACTGAGAAAATTGCAAAGTTGGAGAGCAAGCCCTAAGAATGTTTTTCATCTGTTTATGTCATTATTTTGCACTTGGTAGTACACATATCAATGGAATTTGTGGCAGGAATAAGCAGGGACTGTGCTGGTATAAGCCATGCTAGGTATAAACCAGAGTGGTGGCAATACAATATATGACCAAGTATTTGAGCTAAAAATAATAATGAAGGAATGGAAGAAACAAACCTCTCTGAAGTGCATTGCACACATCTGTCATGTCCGCTGAGAGAAAAAGCTTCACGTTATGTGTTTTCAAGTACTGAGTTGAATCTTCATCACTGACAAAGCAGAACTTGGAGATCTCCAGACCTTAAAATCCAGAAATAAACAAACCAACCAAGGATTTGTGTTGAGGCTTGCAAGAAGAATGCAAACAGGATCAGACTATCTGATTTTCAGGGACAGACTGGTAAATAATTGAGATTTTTCAACTCAAACTGGCCCACTCTGTTCCCCAAATGGCTTCTCCCTGCCTTCACATGGACAAAGGAGGAAATCCATTTGGATGAATGAAGAGAGAATAGCAGGTGGTGAAACGGTGACGCATGCTCAATTCCAAATATCTTTCAGACACAATGATATGATTTTATTTTTAACCTTTTTCACAAATATATGCTTCGCCTTTTAAATATATATTTTCAGAAGGTCACAAATATAGCAATATCAACAGTTGTAAAAACCCATTAATATTTGTTTTAAACTTTCATAAGTAGCAGAGTTTAAAACAAATACACAGGTCCAATCATGAAAAGCCATCCAGAGTAATAAATATCCAGAACATACAGTGGTACCTTGGCTCACAAACTTAATCCATTGTAGGATTCTGGTCGTGACCCAAATTGGTCGTGAGCCAAGTCAAATTCCCCATAAGCTTCAATGTAAATAAGGTTAATCTGTTCTGTAACTTTTTTTTTTAATCACAAAAATTTGAAGCA